TGTGTTCAAGAGCCCATTGATATCGAATCCTACGATTGTGCATTGCTATAGGTGGTACCCGTAGCGGTCTTCGGGAATGAAGGTTCACTTCATGCAAGCGGTTTCTGACTGTTTGGTCGCTAATTAAGTTCCCTGAAGAGTGATGAAGCCTCACGGCTAACATCATGGCGGTTATTGTTGGAGCTCTTCGAGTTAAGATTTGAATGTATCGGTCTTGTCTCCGTGTGGTGCAGCGATACCGTCCTCCATGGCGCTCAGCCACGGTACCAGTGCTTCGGTATCGTGTCCAAAGTCGACTGATAACACTCTGACTTGTATTCAGAGCTAAAGCCACAGTACGTTGCCGGGAACCAGCTTCTATCATTCCCACGGCTCTGAGCATTTCTTCCCTGCTTAAATGACGTCGCCGCTCCATAATAACGTTGGTTTTAATCAGTAGTAGGGAAACAGTAGCACTAATAATGTCTTCAATGCGTTGTATGTTTTTATAGGGAAAATATTGACAGCTGATTTTCATCTTTTACTCGAATTTGATTCACAGTTCCTGATTCAAATTATGAAATGCACCAAAAAGGATCCATATAAATTTATAAAATCATAAATTTATTACAAAGCCACATCTCAATCTCAAGAAATCCGCATAAAAATGCTTGATCCCTAGACACTTTTGATGTGTGTAGATACATGAGGTCTAAAGACTGGTCATTCCGGGGTTATTGACCTGTAGCCCTTCGTACCATCATTATAATTTCCACCCCACTGTTTAAACATTCATGGCATAATAAGTATGGACAAACTGACAGCGATACTGATTTGACTACGCATACCAGCTAATAAATTTCATTACGTAATGAAAACAAATGTTAATGGGTAGTGAACACGTCTGAAAATGAGTATTCTATTTTTTTATAGAAAATACAATCTGCATAGAAAGCTGTAGCTACATTTTTAAATAATTTCTCAGATTACGAAATTTGTCACGAGTTGCGAGTTTCAATTATTAAGTTTTTTGACCAAATTGCAACAAAGTTCTCAATGAAAGTTTAAATCAAAATTATGATTAAGTTTCATATTATCATTGACATAGATAAAATGCTTTTTTAAACAGAACTAAGCATTAGAACATAATATTTACAGTGCTAGTATCTCTCTGTTGTCTTTCTACACGAGTGTGCAACGCTTTTCTTCTTGAGCAACTTGTGTGAATCCGCCTCAGAATTAGAAAGAGAAATACATAGAAACTTGTGAATCGTCTATTTCTCTTTCTAATTCGCAGGCAAAGTTCGTGCACTAAAAATGGGAACAAAAAAAAATTACAAAAAAAATGTGAAAAGAAATGTGCTATTCTTTGGTCCTATATTCTGGAAAACTTCGTATGACCACAAGAAAAGACACTGTGAAGAAAGAAGTCGCTGATTATTTCTAAGGACTATGATGTTCTCTTTAAAAGTGGACGGGGGACGGGGCATGGTAAACCGATTGGGGCAACTGTCTGTGGAAATAATTTTCATTTTATTGAATTACCATTGCCTGCTGATGGTGTTATGTTTCTACTGGTTAAGTAGGTATCAAGGCTTCACGGGGTAGTGGATGGAAAGAGGTAGGCTTCAAGTATACTTTGGTGTCGTCTTTATGTTGTGGCGACCGCTTACCATTAGACGGGCTATAATGGTCCGCAAACAAAATGTTTGTTTACAACCTGTTTTAGAACAAAATACCGAACCAGCGCGGGTCATACACGCCCACCGAGGGTTCCGTACTTGTAGATAAGTACGCAATTTAAACGGCCGCATCTTTTTTTTACGTTAACATTTCGAGTCTTTTACCACTGGATCTTAGAATCAAGGAAACTGCGAAGCTATACAATGCCAAAAGAAGTAAACAATTTGAAAAATTACCAGGTATAGAAATAGAGGAAAGGACCCGCTTCAGCGAACATCCACACCCATCAGAGAGAAGCTGCACCGACTTTGAAGCGTTAGAAGGAAATAGAATTACAGAAATTAACACCTTAAGCCAGTTACAAATATTTACAGATGGAAGTAAAAATGAAAATAAGGTCGGAGCAGCTTTCTCCGTATGGAACGGAGAACGCGAAATACTATACAGGAAATACAAACTCGCCGACTATTGTTCTGTATACCAAGCTGAACTCTACGCAATAAAAGCAGCCACAGATCTATTAAAAACCAGAAAAGCAAAAGGACATTGCAATTCTCAGCGATTCCAAATCAGCTTTGGAAACGCTGAGAAATGCAACAACCCATCATCCTCTAGCAACATCAATTAAAAATAATATAAAAGAGCTAACTAATAATAAAAACATCAAACTTTACTCGATAAGAGCACATGTCGGAACAGAGGGCAACGAAAGAGCAGACCAGCTGGCCAAAGAAGCCGCCCACAAGAAAACGGCCCCATGTTACGACATGTGCCCTATATCATACATAAAAAACTACCTTCGCGAAGAGAGTATTTCAGCTTGGCAAGACAGGTACAATAACCAAACAACAGCGTCAACTACAAAACTCTTCCTCCCTGATGTCCGTGATGCATACAAAATCATTAGAGAAACTGAACCAGGGCATTTAGTCTGTCAAGCTTTCACTGGACACGGAGCATTCGCACAATACCTGCATAGATTCAAACTGAAAGACTCACCAGACTGCACATGCGCTGCAGGAACTGAAGAAACCATACTCCACCTGTTAACAGAATGCAAAAATCATACATTAGATAGATTAAATTTGGAAACTGAAATTAAAACAAAAATAACAAAAAATAATATAAAAGAAATCATGTTAAATTCTAAAGTAAGACTAAAATTTTTATCTTTTACAGTAAAATTAGTAAAAATTGCAAAGGAACGAAACAAAACGTAAAAACACTATCAGTAAAATTAAGTAATAAAACAAAATTAATATAGCAAAGTAAAACAAAACCAGATATAAAAAGATTCGGACAAAAGTCTGAAGAAATTAGAAAAAAGAAAAAAAAGAAAAAAACATAGATGTTTAAATTTTTTCACAGTTTAAAGGAGCCGTAGACTTGGGTACTTATATAGTTTAAATTTCAAATCGACAGTTTCACGTGTTGCGGAGACGAAGGCCTGACTTATAGACAGGCGGACGGACAGACGGATCCTATAAGGGTTCCTCTTTTTCTTTTTTTTTTGAGGTACGTAACCCTAAAACACGGAAATATATTTTTTTATATTATTTGGGGCATACGAACTGACAGCTCACCTGTACCCCTTGCACGAACCATTATCGAATTCGAATAGTTTGCGAGTGAGAAATGTCAATGTCAAATTTTGAATGGAAACTTGAACAGCAGCGTCACAAAGTACGTAACGAGAACGAAAAATCAGTACACATTTGACAATGACATTACGAACTCGAATTCGATATAGGTTTCGGATTCGAATTCGATATTCGTTCGTGCTAAGGGTTTAGGTATATGTAATAAAAGTTAGTCATATCTATGAATCATAATTTAATGTATTCCAAAATTTCATATTCCATTCTACTCACGGCGACTACTAAGAAAACGAAAATGTTGTGTCACATTTCGCAACGGCGACAAAGCGGTATTGTTGACGGGCACTGATAAAATATATATTCATTTTTTAATTTAATCCCTTAATCTGTTTAATGTATATATGTATTGTACACATTGTTGCTTATAAAAACACATTTGTTGTGTCAAAGACAATCGGCGCGTCGATAATTTACACGAGCAATTGTTTGGAGGGCATTAAGTTTGTTGGGTGGGTGTGTGTTGGCGTTGGTGTACACACGATACGCTATTAGTTGGTGCGACAAAAGGCGAGAAAATTCGACACGGCCATCAGGGCCGCGGTAGCATAATGGTCAACGCATTCGCCCGGATAGCGAAGAGGGCAGAAGGGAAGAGAAGTGCGTGTTCGAGTCCCGTCTGCTACCTGGTCTGCGTGGATTTTTTTTCTAATACATTATGTGATGGAAGTTGACCTCAACACATGTTTGCAAGTTTGATGTCAACTTTCAATTGGACGACACTGTATGAAATAAAACAGGGAGAAAAAAGCAGCCCTTGCTGAGTTTCTTGCCGGTTCTTCTCAGTACAAGGTCTCCCGCCGTAGATTTGCGAACCGATGGCGTAGCTTTTCGACATTCACAAGTGCTTGTAACAGACTAGACTGAATAAACGATATTGAATTTTTTGAATAAATTTTTCTTTAGATTTAAAAAGTTATTATATAAATAAAAATTAAGAACGTTTTTTCTTGTCAAAGTAATGCTCAAAATAAAATTTACTGCACTCGCCACGAAATTTTGAGAATTCGCCCGAGTAGACCTCGTAGTCATAGAAAATTATCAGACAAAAAACACCTAAAAATATTTTTCATTTTTAAGCATGTCACTGCTCGATGTTTAAATCTATAGAAAATCTAAAAATCTTACAAGAATTGGTCAAGTGAGAATGAATTTGCACAGGGTTAAAATGGTACTAATGTACCGTATTAGTACCATTGTATACGACTTAACACTAGGACGAGCAAAAAATAATTCAAAACACTTTATTACATACAAAAGTTAAATATATAGTCGTATCATATATTATTACAAGAAGGGGGTATATTTAGACAAAAATGGGCTTTAATTCTGCCATCATTCTGTTAATCTGAAACTAAGTTTGACACTGACACGAGAGACTGCTATCAAAATATGTAGGTTGTTAAATACACTGCAATTAAAATATAACAATACACGTAACATTTCACAAAAGAAGAATAAACCATAAACGATATCAGGGTAATTAAATTATTACCATCATACCTACAAAGAGCATTAGGATCAAGTTTTCATAATAAAATAAATACTGGTGTAGATTATGACACGGCTCTCTAAACCTAAACTTAAATTTGACAACGGTATATCCTTGTCATTCTCTAAACAGAATGAAAAGGAAAGACTGATGTTAAATTAATTTTTAAGTTTAGAAAATCACGCTAGAATCAACATCATTACCAAGGCAATAAAAAACAATTGACAACGCACCTTTTTTTATGGAACGGTCTATATACCTCACACACGTCACTTATAGTTTGTTCTGAAAAAGCTTTAGAAATTGCTACAACTACAGCTAACCCCGGTTAAGGGCTGCCAGTCGGCGACGCGCGCACGGCTCGATCACGCGTGTCGCTAAACTGAAAACGGAAAAACATTTTCCCGCGTTTAACGCGCTGTTCCGCTAATAAAATAAATTGAACTTTTTGAAAAGTTCACTATAACGAAATACGTGTTCCGTTTGAACATAAAATAATGTTATTATTATAGCAGAGTATATTTTTACGGGTGTAAGGTGATTTGTCTACACGTGCACATTCACATGACACTGACCTAATGAAGACATCGACTCATAATTTTTATATCAATTGATTTTTCGTTAACCTTTCTGTACTAAAATTTTTCTTCAGGACAATTGAAAAATTGGGACTAAGAATTCAACATAGCAATCTAAATAGTAATATTTAATAGGATCTCGTAAAGTAGCTGTGTTTTTGTGAATGCAACTTCATAATTAATTGTTAATTAAAAAGAGAGAAATACATTTCCAGTAGAAAAGAAAGTGCGAAATTAAATAAGTTTTCCTTTTCTAGTGATCATTAGTGTTTTTATTACACCCGCATGGTTTCCCGTTTGGTGGTAATAAAAATCATTATCAGTAAGTTAACTATCAGTTAAATATGTACTCATATATACATGTTATGTGACACGAACTGGTTAGGCTGAATAAACTTTAAAACTAGTGTTTAAAATAAAAACAAAATAAATTTAAAAAAAAGTTTGCGACCACAACAGCACAGATTATATGGCTGAAATGAAAAAAGTTCGGATACCACCGGTCAGCTTTTACAAAGCTAACAAGAGAAAATGCGAGGAGTACTGACTGAGAATGGCTCTGAAGAACCTGCAGCTATTCCAACCGATGAACTCCAATGGGTACCAGCACCGGCAGGCGGGGCCCATGCGGGCGCCGCCCACTGCCCTCAGCAGAAGCCTCTCGAAGTCAGCTGAGACTTTGATAGGGACCACCAGATGTGGTAAGTATATTTTGAAAAGAAAACTTCTTTAGCACCGGTGTGGTGAGTTTCAAACTTGATGAAACGAAAAGCGACAGTATTTGACACAAGGTATCCGTAATTTTGTAACTCTCTGCAAAAGACAGATAGCCGAATGGTAACGGTCTTGGGGTCGACACCAAATGATTGGTGGTTCGATCCTCTGCTCAGTTTTTTTTAATTGTTTCCTTTTTTCTTTTATTAAGCCATAATCTATATAATTTTGCCCAGTATTTTACAGTACCTAGTCATTAAGGACTTTTACGTGTCCACATTATTGTAGGATTCATTTCTATTGGATGTGAACAGCACATGTCCGTTTTTTATGTTAAAAGGTTGGCAAACAAGCTTGAAGCGGCCACCATAGTCTATAGACGCTTGCAATACCAAAAATATCGTTCGTACCGTCCTAACTAGTGTTGCCAGGTACTGATTTGTTTCAAATCGGTACAAGAGGTCTAAAAAAATCGGGATTTAGGGTTGCAGATTGGGACAGTAAACAAAAACAAGGGGTTTTTAAGTCTTAAGGTTTAATTTATTGCATTTTAAACTACTAGTGCAAGTATAGTATTATATTAATTACCTCAATTTTATTTTTGATTAATCGGTACATTTTGCTTCCCCATCAGATACGAATCGGGGCTTCTTAGGGTAAGGGATTGTGTCAGGACTAGTGTTGCTAGGTGTCCCGATTTACAGGGGTCTGGGGACTAACGTGGAGAGTCACCAGGATCCCACGAAACCCGTTCCGGCAGGCGAGGAAGCACTGTTGGGTTTTTAGTGGGTAGCCCCCCCCCCCCCTCGTCCCGAGCAGCCGCTGATCCAGTTTGGCTGAGCGGGTGGGCGGGACTTGGGGGGGGGGGGGGGGAGTCCCACATAACCCCGCCTCTCACCAAGCATTTTCCCAACAAAAAAAAAAGGGGGGGTCTGGGGACGGGTCCCGATTCGAATCTGATCGGAACGCGTGCCCAGACCCTTGTAAATCGGGACGTCCCGCGCAAATCGGGATACCTGGCAACACTAGTCCTGACCCAATCCCTTACCCATTGAAGCCCTGGAACCTTACTCACCGACAGTAACACAACACCACCGAAAGGTAGTTAGTGTTATATTACTGTGATCTTCTGTTAGGTGGAGATTACTTCCCCAGGCGGGGGCTCCAATTCGAGCGGAAAATCAGCTATGCCCAACCTCTCTATTAAATAAACAAAAGTAGAAATGAAAATTTTACCAAAAAAAAATCCACTCTGTCCCAGGTATCAGACACGACTCGAACCTGCGCCTTCCGTAATCCGGACGAGCGCACCATCTATTGCGAGAGGCGCAGGTTCGACTCCTGTCTGATACTTACCTACTACCGGACCGAGTAGATTTTTTTCTAGTAAAAACTATAACTAAACATTTCTAAAACACACCAATTATCCTAGCCCCAAACTAAACTGTGTAAGGCTTGTGTTCTGAGATACTAGGATAACGGCTAGAAATACATTTATAGACCAGGGTCGATAATTTTTGAGACCAAAAAAAATTATAGTAGGATGAAACCCATTAGAAAAGGTAGAGAATATAACAAAAATGAAAGGAAAAAAAATACGGGCGATCTGAGGTCGGGAAGGGGGAGGGGATGAGTTTTTAAGGGTAAAAAATGGTTAATCTCGATTTCCGGTAAAACTGCAAGTCCTATGAAAAAAAATTAAATGGCAAAGTTGTAGGTAATAAAAAGATCTACAACTTTTGTATCGACACTTTTTTCACATAACCTCAAAATTTATTTGAAAAATGCGAATAACCGAGTTTTTGGTTTTTGTATTTATTTTTTGCAAAAAAAAATATTTTTTCACGAAATTTGGTGAAAACTTACCTTTGTATGTCCCAAACTACAGTAATTTTTTTGATTTAAAATATTCATTTTTTCACCTTATTTTGACTTAATATCGAAAAAGCACCCTTATTTTCAATCGAAAATTCTCACGTCAAAATATCTGCTTTTTTAAAAACGTTGGCGTGTTTTTTGTTTGTTGAAATCTCTACTTTCTGATGGTATAAAAAAAATATACACTACTATGGTAAATGTTCTCAGAAACTGCAAATTAATATTTTATTTTTATTTTCTTATACCATCAGAAAGTAAAGATTTCAATACAGAAAAAACACTCCAACTTTTTTAAAAAAGCAGATATTTTGACGTGAGAATTTTCGATTGAAAATTAGGGTGCTTTTTGGATATTAAGTCAAAATAAGGTGAAAAAATGAATATTATAAATCAAAAAAATTACTGTATGTTTGGGACATACAAAGGTAAGTTTTCACCAAATTTCGTGAAAAAATATTTTTTTTTTACAAAAAATAAAAATCAAAAACCAAAAACTCGGTTATTCGCATTTTTCACATAAATTTTGAGGTTATGTGAAAAAAGTGTCGATACAAAAGTTGTAGATCTTTTTATTACCTACAACTTTGCCATTTAACTTTTTTTCATAGGACTTGCAGTTTTACCGGAAATCGAGATTAACCATTTTTTACCCTTAAAAACTCACCCCCTCCCCCTTCCCGACCTCAGATCGCCCGTAATTTATTTTTCCTTTCATTTTTGTTATATTCTCTACCTTTTCTAATGGGTTTCATCATACTATATTTTTTTTTCACTTTTCACCATTTTTAAAATTATCGACCCTGGTCTATTAATGAAACATACGTATATTTTTTTTACAAAAATATGTATAGACAGTCAAGACTTGGGTAACAATGCTCGTATAGATCATACAAACATTTGCCCCATCGGGATTCAAACCCAGGACTTTTGAGAAGGAGACACCTTGAAAACTGGTGTGTGTGTAATGTTGATAACGCTAACTTTAAAGTTATACATTTCGCACTCGCAAACTATTCGAATTCGACAATGGTTCGTGCTAAGGGTACTGATTTTACTTTTATTAACTTGCTTTTATTGGACTACCAATTCCTGTTCGTTACTCGTAACTAAATTGATATGAACTAATGATGAATGAATGTAATTTGAAACCCATAGTTTTATTAGTTTTATATGTCGCACTAATCAATTCACGTTCGCGTGGCGGCGTAAATTAAACGAATGCCTATTTAGTCCGTCGGTTACGTTATCAAAATATAATGGATTATAATTATTTTTTCTTTTGTCAATCAACCAACAATAGGGTATTTGACAAGTTTTAGAAAACGATCTCACGTGATTGACATAAGTTTATGGAGTCCGTAAAAACTGGATATTCATCATTCTGTTGTGTATTTCAGTAAAAATAACCAAATCAAAAACTCAATTTTCAAGTTGCCGCGAAAACGTTTTTCTGGACAATATGGCGTCTTACTAGTGTGTGACGTCACACGACTGTTATTAAAACTTCGAACGATACAATTTAATGTCACTTTAACCGGAAGTTTACTTGCTTGTGACGTCATTTGAGGCTCCGCCAATCCCAAGCGTTTTGGGTCACGTGACAATAGATAAGAAAACTATTATCTTTTTCGTGCGTATTTAGTAAAATTATGAATATTTTTTTTGTAAAAATAGTAAAAACCCCTGCCAATATTCATTCTAAACACAGATACCCTTAAAACGCCTCAAAGTTTGGGGTGGGGGCTCGCGACTTCACTTCTAAGTAAAAAAATTACAAAGACGTGACTTCATGTGAAACTTCAAATTAATATACCTCTGTTATGTTTAGATTATGTGAATAAAGAAAAAATACTTCTTGAAGTGAAACTTCTTTACGCACGCTAGACTTGGGAGGGTGTAAGCTGGCGAATGCGTTACGCGTTACGAAAAGTGTGTTCGGACGAGGCGAACGGGAGTTGAGTGGGGGATATAAGCAAGAGAATGCAGTGCGCGCGCACATTTTCTTTCTCCGTCATCGTCCTTATTCAACTACGTAATAAATAAAAGGTTCCATTGTCATTCTCTGGGTCCGGGACTCTAGAAAGAAGGATCAAATACCACATTTGAACACAACACAATATTATGTCGTGGACACGGACGCGTCCTGGCCAAACAGAGGGCGCTGGCAACACTAACCGGTGGCGGAAGCGAAAATCTACTAGACTATCTCGCTATATTGTCGAACTATCTGTATCTCCCACGTATCTCTTGTAAATTTTATAATCATCATCATAAGCCTATTAATATCCCCACTGCTGGGGAACAGGCCTTCCCTATGGATGGAATAGGGAGATTGGGCCATGAACCACCACGCGGGCCCAGTGCATGGAAAGTGAATTTTTACTTCTTTCAATAACCTCGCGTCAACATTAAGTTCATAAAAATGTAGTTACATGGTGCTTTAAACGAGCTCTGTCAATGCAGTACGGACAATGTAATTCGCCCCAATTTGAACGGAGATTCCGTTGAATCACCCCTATTTAAGCTTGAATTATTTCCCTAATTTAATCCCGACTAATTTCAAATACGGAATCGTTTAGATGTAAAACTATCAAACTTCTCCAAACCGACTTTGAGATTTAACTGAAAAGCAAGCGTTAGGTATATATATGAAAACTAGCTGACTCGGCGAACTTCGTACCGCCCAAAAGTAATAATTTGCAATAAATTAAAATTGCGACTATAATTTGAGATTTAAACTATCCTATCTCTCAAGTTCGATCGAACTACACATGGTGTGCGAATTTTATTATAATCGGTTCAGTGGTTTAGGAGTCCATTGAGGACAAACATTGTGACACGAGATTTATATATATTAAGATGAAATGAAATGAAAAAATGAAATGAAATGAAAAATTATTTATTGGCCATCATAAACATAGTAAAGGACAAAAATATAACTTAATCTATAGACGGCCAACCAGGACCCTGCCTCAGCATAAGCTGATGTCGGCGCTGTTATTCTGGCAGGGCCTGTGCAAGGTGGCTTTAATGGATTGTAAAACATTCAAAAACGTAAACACTAAAAACAGAACAATAAGAAAAAAACCCACATCACCATACAGTACGTATATAATATATATTAATATAAAGAAAATTATAATTAGTCGTCGTAATTTATATATAAATTTGTTTAAATATATAATGTAAATAAACCATGTACCCGAAGTTATGTATTTAATTTACACTGTCATAAGGAAGGACTTATGTCCAAACTTACGTTGACAGCGCCCGAGTGCATGTTCTGAACGCAGACTTGTACGGTTCCTATCATCACTAATCTGTGCGAATGGTATATAGCTTCCTTGAGGTATTTCCTTGTATTATTTCAAACCCGTATCCGGGTGCAAGAAAGAAACTACTCGTATTCGGACACCCGCAGCAATATTTACGCTGGAATACGGGCTTGAAGAATATGGACGTAATCGATTCCGATCATTTAAACTTAGTCGTTTATCCGAACTCCATTGGTAATCGTATTCGGGCTAACGAACAAGTGTTATTGAGCCATTAGGTGTATAACTTCCTTGAGGTACTCAGATAAACTAATAAGTTACTGCCATAACGCATCAAACTCCCTAAAATATGACAGTAATATTCCAAAGCAAAGTTAAGCCTTCGTTATAAATGTAATCTGTACCCTTAACACGGACCATAAACGTATTCGAATAACTATTCGATCTACTTCATTTGTCAAATTTGAACTGATATTAAGTTCTCTTTACGTCCGTTTTGGCGCTGCTGCTCAAGTTTACATAAAAAAATTGATAATGAGTTTTCGAACTCGCAAACTATTCGGATTCGTTATTCTTTCGTGTACTGAAAGATAAGTCAATTTGAAAATTATGTCAATCGTCTAGTACAAAGTGTCTCACCATAGATCACGCAGTTTATGGATTATTTTAAGTGAAACATACATTTAGATATGTTTAGGACACTGGAATCTGGCTTGGCTTTCCCGGATTATGTCCTTAATGTTGTGGATATTCTTCCGCCAGTTGTTGTCCACAACTAAAGGAAGTACTGAATTGTATTTTTATAAAAAATCTTTTTATATTTCACCATGAAATTAACCCTTAATAAACTCCCTATTCCATCCATAGGGAAGGCCTGTGCCCCAGCAGTAGAGACTTTAATAGGCTGATGATGATGATGAAACTTTAATGAATTAGATTCACACACTCAAGTAAGGAGGTCAATGGCGTAGGTGGTGAATACGTTCAGTTGGCGATCGTTGAAGTTAAGCATCTTATCTCACTTCAGCAATGGTTGGTCTTTGGGTGAGTGACCAAAAACTTATCATCTCCAGATCCTCCGGGCTTCGGAAGGTCATTAAACCGTTGATTGCGGCTGCATCTGCAGTAGTTAGCACCGCATCTGCGTTGGACCCGCGTAGTCACGGCCCATTATCTCTATGCGACTCATTGGGTAGGCCAATGCTCCAGAAGATGATAGTTAACACATTTTTTATTTACAGGCAAAGAGTTGCGGTCTAGGAAGGCGCGCAGCACAGAACAACCTGGTGGTGCCATGGCGAAGGGCAACAGCTCCACAGCCCTACCAAACCTCACCAACAACTCCAACTGGGACGGCGACAGCCTGCGCAGTCGTTCCAGGAACGGGAGGTAGGTGGCACTCAGTTTTCGGCTGTTCTTGACTTCTCTGTTTCTTTTCTTGTCGTTTGTCCCAGCCTAGCGGTGGCATGACGAAGGATATCTACTCCACAGTACTACCGAAACTAGTCAACAATTCCAGATGATGCTTCCTTCTCATTTGTTTTTTTTTCTACAGTGTTTTTCGAATAAGACTACGGTGATATGTAAGAGATTTACCATAGAAAAGGTGAAGGTTTTATTTTTTGCTTTTCCAAAAAAAAATCGAAAGTGTCATCTTATTTTTATCACAACTTGCTCAATTTTGATGCTATTAACTTTTTACAGTGCTCATTAGAAAAGTATTTCTAAGGACTTTAAAAAGTGTTCAGAAAGTATATGTCATAAAATGTTCCGTTTTCCCGCTATTTAAGTTTGAATATTTAGATTTAAGTACTTCCCAAAAAATATAAATATACAATTACCTATAGCTCGCTTTGAATTAATATTACAAGGTTTTTCAAAGTAGGGGTTTCTTTGTTTTTTTTATTAGCTTCAATTTTAGTAATAATACCTTTTTTTTATATCTCATAGTTTTTGAGTTATTTATGAATAACCGCTTAAAAACATGTATTTTTATCACGAAAAATCACAATCTTTGATCTTTAATAACCCAGAAAGTATTGATTTATTCGACAGCCTATGTCAATATTTTCAGCTTGACTTACTATAAACAATTTTCTTCAAATTAACATGGGTAAAACCGCAGGGGACCTCTAGTTGTGACACAACTGTAATAGTTAGGCCGTATACAGAAAGAAAGCCGAAAGCCGATCGGCGCTTATCGGTGCTTATCGGCGCCGATCCTTCCAACATAAAGGAAGCCGATTAAAGCAGATCAAGCAAAATGTCGGACTCATCGGACGATGATTTGGTTTTGTTAGAAAATGTTTATTTAAAAATGCGAAAAACAGCTATACATCCTATAAATAGAGAAAGGAAACGTTTCGGAGAATGCCATCATTTATTTGTAAAAAAATGAAATTTGATGAACAAAGGTTTTATACATATACAAGAATGATTCAAGAAACATTTTATTACATTTTGGATGGATAAAAAACCGTTTGATGAAAAATTGGTGCAATTGGCATAAACAACCAATCCTTCCAGAAGAAAGACTTGTTGTCACCATTCGGTAAGTACGAAACAAATAATTTTAGCGTTTAGTTAATAAAAGATAAAGTTATTAGATTTATAAAAAGATTATAACTTAGATTGATTTAATCTAAAGATAATAATTCAAATACAAATTATTTATTATTCGGACCAGCGCGTATCGGTGCTTATCGGCGCCGGTCCATAGAAAAAGGATCAGCGCCAATAGCGATCGGCTTTCGGCTTTCTCTCTGTATACGGCCTTAGACTTATGGTATCCTGGACTTTTTTGTAGATATTGGTATCCTCTATAAAACTTTAGTACAACACTTTGCTCTATTATCAATGACTTCAGCTTATGCGATATAAGGCTATTTTTTGGTATTTTTTACACACGTTGGGTTACGTTATCGAAGTTTTCATACGGAACCCTAACTTTGAGAAAATACACTATAGCCTATATTTATCAGTGATAATGTAGCATTCAAATGGTGAAAGAATTTTTAAAATCAGTCCAGTACTTTTTGAGCCAATTCGTTACAAACATACTTACATACAAACCTTTCCTCTTTATAATATTAATAGTATAGATTTCAATCATCAGGTAATATTATCATGTTATTTTGAAGTCATTTATTTTGCTATTCAATATATTTTTACGTTCAGGAAAGTAGACAGGAACTTATCATTTAATGGACTCTAATTGTACACTGTGGCCATTGCAACGAAGGCAAATCACAATTAGCAGGGCCGGATTTAGAGGTCCAGAGGCCTCGGGGCAACAGAGGAGCGGAGGCCACCTCACCCCAAATTATTTTCCAAATAAAGTAAACAATTTTTTTAGGTAGGTAAAGGTAAAAGAGCAAAAAAAAATATCAAAGGAAAAGAGGTTTACTAGTTGGAATTTGAAAGATTTTATTTGCCGAAGTCTCTATTGTGGGGGCCCCCCGTTTGTGGAGGCCCCGGGGCTTTCGCCCCGGTTGCCCTCCCCTAAATCCGGCCCTGACAATTAGATAGATGGGTGGCTTAATCGTATCGATTTTACTACCTCATCGCACTGTTATCAGTTAATTATTTTCAAATTATAAAATTACTATTAATTAAAGGACTTCATATAAGACATTGATAATATTGTGACAGTTTTGTAGAGCACCAGAAAAGCTAAACATAGTGATATTATGAAATATAGAAGTACATATTTATAGTTCTTAATTGACGTGTCGAATATTCTAGAATACACTGTACCGTATTTTTTCAGTTGATAAAGCTTAACTACTTTCTCTTTTAATAACATAAAGCTTTCATACACCTCTTGCATCTGGAGCACGTTTATATGTCAAACATTCTCTAAGGTAATCTATTAAAGCCCTAGAGGGCTTCAAAATTGTACGGAAGTCCCCTTGGTAAATTTCCCTTTATTCCTAGCACTCTGATGTAGCAGGTTCCACAGACTTTTTTTTGTGTCTCTGCTAAATGGCAATCTGTTTTCTAACAATAAGCCATTTCTTTGGCTGATCCTAGATCTGGACATTTTAAACTGCCACGAGAGCCAAGTCAAGTAGTAAAATTCCTTTACTACGAACTCTCTTTTTGGCTGATAAATCTTTCGATCAGAGTCGGAATGTCATGTCGTTTCAATCGGGCATGTTGTATACCATCCTCTCCACCATGTGTTTTAGCCAGTTCATTTACATGGATAGCAAGCCTTGACTGATAGTTAGTACTGTACTAGGTTCCACAGAGTAAATCAAAAAAAGTTTCGAAAAAAGCAAGGCTGTTCAATGTACAACTTCTTCGCCATTCCTTGATTCCTTGACTTTAACTATAAAATTCTAGTCATAAAGAAAAACTTAATCAAGTCTTAGCTACTAACTTTCTTTCACTGTTTTTTAAATAAAACGTCATATTTGATTCGTGATTTTTACAGCTAATCGTTAAAGAGTTGTCATTTAATAAAATTAAACAGAGAAAAATGTCCACTTTGATAAAGAAACGGAAGCTCAAAATATTATTGACGGGATTTGCCCGAAAAATCCATATTACTCTAAAGCGAGTAAAAATTAACGCGTCGCCTCGTAGTTTGAATTGCGGTCGAGTGCTTCAAGCATGAATTTTGCGGTTCACGCGTTGATTTTACTCGTCATGGTCCATCATGGTCCGTACTCAACCATGATCTGATCGGCCCATCGATCCCGCCTAGTCAACTCGACTCATAAAATATTAATATTGTGTTAACCAGATGCTTCACGGTATAAAGGTACAATTCCGTGCATCGTGATCGATCGCGGCCGCGCGCGGCCTACGACTGTCGTCGGTCGCTCGCGACAATAGTCATAGTATGAAAACGTATGGCACCGCTTCCGTGACCAGCGACAGACGCGCGCGGCCGACGACTGTCGTGAGCCGCGCGCGTCTCTCGCTCGCATTTCATGGCGTAAACATGTCTAGGAACGCAGGAGAAAACTTCCGAAACTTTTTTTCATAACAATACAAATGCTATTGAATCAATATTTGGTTGTATCCTTCTTCATTTCTGCTTTTAAAGATAGGGTCGATTGGTTCCCTTTTTTCATAATATAAAAACAGCAGCTCGTCATCTTCCGCTTCTTCTTCAAGAATGTCAATTAGCACTAGCACAACATGACCATGATTTTGACTTCGGTAGACACACGTCTAGAGGAATATGCCGAACAACACCGACTAACTTTGTGACACGGCCGCGCACGTCTGTCGCTTTCCTCGGAAGCGGTGCCATACATTTTCATACTATGACTATTGTCGCGAGCGACCGACGACAGTCGTAGGCCGCGATCGATCGCGATGCACGGAATTGTACCTTAAAACAATTCGTAGCCAAATATTCGAAATGTAGCTACTACGGTTCGGAACTCGTAGCTTTAAATTAAGGTAGAAGAAGGTTATATATATTTATTTCCTGTTAACTGTTAGATGTTTAAATCTAAAGAAATTTTACAAGAAAAAATTCCACGCGAAGCAGGTAGCAGACCGGACGACATTTTTTCTAATAAAAATTTCTTTAGATTTAATTATAATAAATGTATACCTACGTTATTTTATGCCAGACTCTTGCAAAGCTCGATAAACCTGTAGTCGTTCGACAATCTAACTATTAATCAAAAGGGTTCAGAACTAAAATTACCATAAGCTCCAATCGATTATGGTATTTATTTCACGGATAGTTATAATTGTAATTGTTCTTACTGCAAGTTTGTTATTTAATTGAATTTTAATCTATTCAAAATTTCTTTGAAAGAGAATGTGCAAACCCGACTCGCACTAGTCAGATCCTTTATCTTTTGAGGCACGAAACTCAAAAAAAATAGATTTCTTGCTTTTAGTCTGAAAATCTATATGCTTTTTATTGCTATAGTATTTTAACTCAAAGCAAACTCCTCGACAAAAGAAATTAGTTGACTCATTTCTTTGTTGTATTATTCGCAAGTGGAATTCTTTGCCGGCGGACGTATTCCCCCCTTTCTTCAATCTGAGGTCCTTTAAGAGAGGCTCAAAAATGCTCCTTTTCGCACCCCCAAAACCAACGGCTAACTAGAGCCGAGGTCCGAGTCTCAGAGACGCCCTCTAGTTGAGCCGACCCCCTCAGGTTCAAGTGGTCTAGAGGCTCCAGACGGAGAGAAGACTGCCCCCGTGGGAAGACACCATCCGCCTGGAATACCTCTAGAGGCACTCGCCAATTCTCGGCTTGAGGTCCCCCTAGGATCTCGCAGTCCCCAAACCTGGTGTCACTGTAAATGTCATCTGCGACCAATAGCATACACACTCAACAAAAAATCCATCACGTATTCCGTAAGCCGGCAAGGTAAGGATGGATGGTGTGGCAGTTTATAACTGCGGTATCT